TCTTCCAGTCATGTTAGCTCAGGAATTCTGGGAGTTGAAGTCCACAAATCTTAAACTTGCCAAGTTTGAAGACCCTTGGTCTAGAATAGTCACTTATTGAAAATGGTACAGTTCTCCTGCTCGAGCAGGGGGCTGGGCTAGATGACCTTCCAGTTCATTCTATTAAAGTCTTTTTCTTTTTTTCTAGACTTTCCCATTTCAGAGTAACGATTGTCCAATATCTTAAAAACATCCAGTTGTAGGAGTACCTACAACTTTTGAAGGCAAGTTAATTGTCAGGAAATTTCTCCTTAGTTCTAGGTTGCTTCTCTCCTTGATTAGTTTCCATCCATTATTCCTTGTCTGGCCTTCGGGTGCCTTGGAAGATAGATTGACCCCCTTCCTCCTCTCTGGGGCAGCCCCTCAAATATTGGAAGACCACTATCATGTCTCCCCTGGTCCTTCTCTTCCCTAGACTAGCCAGGCCCAGTTCCTGCAACTGTTCTTTATATGTTTTAGTCTCCAGTCCCCTCATCTTCCTGGTTGCTCTTCTCTGCACTCTTTCCGGAGTCTCTCAACCTCTTTTTTATAATGGGGTGACCAAAACTGGATGCAGGACTCTAGATATGGCCTTACTAAGGCTTTACAGAGTGGTATTAGTACCTCACTTGATCTGGATTGTATCCCTCTGTTAATGAAACTTAGGATTGCATTAGCTTTTTTGGCTGCTGCTGCACACAGCTGGCTCATATTTAGCTGGTTGTCCACTAAGACTCCATGAGCCCTTTCACAGTTAAACCTGGATTTAACCCATTCTATATGTGTACTTTTGGTTTTTCTTGCCTAAGTGTAAGACTTTACTTTTCTCTACGTTGAATTTCATTTTATTAGTTAGGGGCCAGTGTTCTAGTCTGTCAAGATCCATCTGGATCTTGAGCCTATCTTCTTGGGTGTTAGCTATTCCTGCCATCATCTGCAAATTTGGTAACTTCCCCTTCTATTTCCTTATCTAAGTCATCAATGAAGATATTGAAGAATATTGGGCCTAAGACAGAACCTTGTGGCACCCCATTGCTTACTTCCCTCCATGTAGACTTAGACCCATTAAGGACTACTAGTTGAGTACAGTTTGTCAGCCAGTTGTGAATCCATCTGGTGGTGATGCTATCTACCCCACTTTTTTCTAGCTTACCAAGAAGTAGGTTGTGGTTTACTTTGTCAAATGCCTTGCTGACGTCTAAGTATAATGTCGAGATCCATCTGGATCTTGAGCCTATCATCTAGGATGTTATCTATCCTGCCAGCTTAGTATCATCTACAAAACTGATAAGTTGAATTGACTCATTTGGCCCAGGTCAGAGAACCCAAGAATCACAAAACCAGTTGGACTCACACAACCAGCTAGACGAGCCAACAATGAGGCAGCAAGGTTTCTAGGTGTAGCAATGCAACTTTTATCTCCCATTGTCGAAAGAACTGTAAGAATGACTGTTTGTTTGGAGCACAGCCTAGGATACACAATCAGATGTTTATTTCCCACCCACCCGCAAGCCAAACATTAGAGAAATTAGCACGAGTCATCCAATGACTCAATGCATTAATTTGTTGGAAGAATTATCCTTCTGGGTTCATTTCCAAGTGGGGGAAAAAGACACTGGAAACGTGGAGGCTATTTGGAAAGATGGTTTAATGGTGGACAGGATCACATGGCTTGGAGCTCCAAAGAAGGAAGGCATGCTCACATGCTTCAAGATGAAGGAAAAGGAGGAAGGGCTGGTATGCTGAGTGTGCCTGGGTTTTATACCCTCTGTTGGGATTTGAATTTGAGCTTGTATTCTGACTGGTTGACAGACTCCCATGGGGCCATGCGGGGACAACTCTGTAGACTGTCCTGAGTTCCAGGCTTGGTTGAGCCTTGCTGGAGGATGATGCACTGAAAGGGCTTTTGAGCAATTGCTATAGGTTTACCTGGAGATCTTTGTTATGTATAGTATTCTGGCCCGGGCCTTAATGGCCCACCTATTAACAAAGGTGGGGGTGAGCTTCTGCTTCTAAGGTGAGTTTCTGCTTCCGAGTTTCTACTCTTTTTTTAGAGGAAATATCCTGCCTTTTTAATATTTCCTAGGATATTTCTATTTTCTAGGAGAGGGGTGGGTGCTAACTTCCTACAGTAATATAATTAAGGAGAGAAGCAACCCACAACTAAGGAGAAATTTCCTAACGGTGAAGACAATTCACCAATGGAACTGCTCGCCTCCAGAAGTTGTAAATTCTCCAACATTGGAGGCTTTTAAGAAGAGATCGGACAGCCACTTGTCTGTTTGAGCAGGGGGTTAGACTAGAAGACCTCTGAGGTCCCTTCCAACTCTGTTATTTTTTATATATATATAAAAGTTTTATTGATTTTAACGACAAACAAAAACATAATTGAGCATTTCCCAACTCTGTTATTTTATGTTCTAAATTCTGCGCTTCAGTTGGGCCGCTTATTGTGAATTGTCTCTGGCTGACCTTGCCGAATTGCATTTGCTTTCAGATTCTTCCCTGAGATCGACAGCCAGTACGGGCAGCGTAGAAGGCCTTAAACCATTTTTTTTAAGCCAGTCCCACCTCTGACTCAGAATGAGGTCACCTCTCTTTAACTGCCACCCACACAGAATCTTTCGTCGCAAAATTTAAAGCCTCCTCGTGGCCATCTATCTCATCAATCTTCCGGAGATTTCACGGGTCGAGCCTGTTGGAAGTTAAAAACCCACCCCTCCTCTCCTAGGAAAATGAAATATCTTAGAATATACTGAAAAGGCAGAATATTTCCCCTAAAAAGAGAAGTAGAAACTCACATCAGAAGCAGAAGCTTAAACCCCCCCCCCACCCCACCCACACACACCTTTGTTAATGGGCAGGCCATTAAGGCCTGGGCCAGAGTATTCTACATAACAAAGGCCTCTACCCATCTCACCCCCTGGCCTGGGAAGATTGCATCAGCCAGCACTCAGGTGAAGCCCTGTGGTCCAGACAAAGCCTACAAAGTTAGCTAAGACCCCCACCCCCTGGGAGTCTGACAGCCAATGGGATACATTTCTTAGACAGCAACAGAAAACAGTGAGGTGGGGTCCAACGGAGGGTATGTAACTAAGGGTCTCCCAGCATCTTGCCCCTTCTTTTTCCTTCACCCAACATCTCGAAGCACGTGATCGTCCTTTTCATTTTGGAGTTCCAAGCCATGTGGGCCTGTCCAGCATTAAATTATCTTTCCAAACAGCCTCCATGTTTCCAGTGTCTTTTTTTCCCCCCACTTGGAACTGAACCATCTTTCCAAACAGCTTCAGTTGTCTTTCTTTCCCACTTGGAACTGAACCCAGAAGGATATTTCTTCCAACACACCCATGGCGTTTTCTTGGCAGTGACCTCAAAAAGGGTTGCGTGCAAACAATGTGCCTGCCATTTCTGGGATGTGCCCGGTCCATCCTACAGTCCTGGAATTTCCTAAAGGTTGAAGCGTTATGCAGTCCTGAATCTGAATGTTAGCAGTTGGAGATCACCCACGTTAGTTTTAGAAACAATTTGATGAAGTGGTGAAGGCATCAAACTGGCAACTGGAGAGAGCAGGAATTAGAACATAGTGTCAGGGCTCCAACAAATCCACTGTTGGAAGAAAATTCCTTCTGGGTTCAGTTCCAAGTGGGGGGAAAAGACACTGGAAACGTGGAGGCTGTTTGGAAAGATGGTTTAATGGTGGGCAGGATCACATGGCTTGGAGCTCCAAAGAAGGAAGGCATGCTCACATGCTTCAAGATGAAGGAAAAGAAGGAAGGGCTGGTATGCTGAGTGTGCCTGGGTTTTATACCCTCTGTTGGGATTTGAATTTGAGCTTGTATTCTGACTGGTTGTCAGACTCCCATGGGGCCATGCGGGGGCAACTCTGTAGACTGTCCTGAGTTCCAGGCTTGGTTGAGCCTTGCTGGAGGATGATGCACTGAAAGGGCTTTTGAGCAATTGCTATAGCTTTACCTGGAGATCTTTGTTATGTATAGTATTCTGGCCCGGGCCTTAATGGCCCACCCATTAACAAAGGTGGGGGTGAGCTTAACAAAGGTGGGGGTGAGCTTCTGCTTTTGGGGTGGGTTTCTGCTTCTGAGTTTCTGCGTAGTGGTGGGATTCAAAAAAAATTGGTTTTCTATATTTATTTTTTGATTTTTTTTAATTTTAAAAACAAATATAAACAAACACAAAACGTACAACATTAAATAAAATCTTTCTTCCATTATACAGTGTGTCGGTTTGTTGCAGCAGATCCTGTTTCCAAATC